GCCGCTGACAGCAGAGGAGGCAGGGCCCCCAGCCCCAGCCTCTCCCCCAGCCGCCCCGGGGGACAGGGCTGCCTCACCTTCCTGAGCCTCACTGTCCTCATCTGTAAAGTGGGGTCTGCGTAGGAATAAGCAAGATCAAATGCTCTCATGTTCCCAGCACCGTGCCCGCAGAGGAGGTACACCGGTTCGAGCCGAGTCAGAGAAAAGGGCCACGTGGCCTGAAACGGGGGCTCACCGAGGGCCCCAGGGTCCCTCCCCCCGCCCGGACCTGCCGCTGTGTGCACTGCGGGAAACCCGAGGCTGCAGCACCTCGGGCTCCTGAAGAAGGAACAAGGACCGCAGCTCCCGGGGTGGGGAGAGAGCAGGGACCAGGAGGCCCACACACTTGCCCCTCACATGCAAGGCTGCCCTTCGTGGGTGAGCAGTGGCTCACCACCGCCCGCCCCCCGCCCCACGTACAGTGATGCCGTCGCTCGCGCCGGTGGTCAGGTAGATGTTGTCGGGGTCCGCAGGCACGCCGCCGTCTCGCCGGGTGATGTAGGCAGCCACGTCCTCCCGGATGCAGTTAACGCCCTGGCTGGCGCTGTAAGCCCCTGTGAGACACCCAGCTACTCAGTGACCATGGCCAGTCGGCCATATCCCCACACGCAATTAACAGAGGAGGGGGTTTGGGGGGGGCTCGGTGGGGCCCGACTCCCACTGCTCTAAGCTCTGGAATCGTGGCGAGCTGTTGAGCCACCTACCCGGGCCTCAGCCACCGACCCTCTCATGCATCCAGCCACCCACTAACCTACCCACCCACCCTCTGTTCTCCCACCCACCCACCCACATATCCACCCAATATTCGCTGAAACCTAGGCTTCTAACCAGTGAAATGGTGCCCGTACCTGGGTCACCTGCCCCCTGGGGTTTATACACAGCCTGTGACAGTATCAGTCATGACAGCTGGGATTGCTATGTTTTTAAAAAATATATTCGTATTGATTTCAGGGAGAGGGAGAAACATCAATGATGAGAGAGAATCATTGATTGGCTGCCTCCTGCACGCCCCCCACTGGGGACCGAGCGGCGACAACCCAGGCATGTGCCCGACGGGGAATCGAACC